TGTTTTCTGAACTACGATTAGAACAATCTCATTACTAGAAGGGTTATTAATTACCATTAAGCCTTATGATTTGACTAGATATTTAGTGAAACAAACAGACAGTTAACACTAGGATTGAAAAAATATCAATATTTTCGTGATAACACAGTTTAACAAAATAGAAGATTATGATTAACAGACGTGAAGTTGTAGCTCAGTAGTTAAATTACTTAACTTTCAGACATTAAGTTGAAGATTCTACTCTTAATGCACTTACTTCATTTTGAGTAGCCAAGTAGTGCACTAACACAAAGTGTAACTGAAAAAGTAATAAATGAATTATCTCTAACAATTTAGATCTCAAAAGAAATATGTAGGTCTAAGATATTCAGCCTAAATATCTTACGGTTATTTGTTTGAACAAGCTAAACACTTAGATACTAAAATATACAGAGAAAATATATTGTGTACAATACTTCTTTTAACACTAAGAAATTTGGAAACAATATTCTATCACTATAACGTAGCTTGTTGTTAACCGACTAGCATTTAGCTTCAATGGTCAATATTATGTGATACTGGTGGTAAGAATAAATATGTGTAGAATAATGATTAATAATATCACGAAGTGTTAATGTATGATGCGAGAAACCTAATTAAGCCATTCAATCAATATGGTATCCAATTTTTTGTTTACTTGAGCGAAACAACTATAAGCTATGCAACTCATACTTTTTCTATCTTCCCCATAAAAAAAGCCTTGAATATTGTGTTGACGAAAATGAAATCGAAATTAATGGGCATCTGGTATTCACAAAGCAATCATAGAAATGAAATTCAAAATGCTCTCTTAAAACTTTATCTTAATGATAGATAACCCGGAACTATTAGATTATTAACTTAAGTTTTATTTAAAATCTTCATGAACTGTTGATCTTAACATAACAGCTGACGTTACATAACATGGATGATTTTGATTCCTTACGATGAGATTAACAATTGAGACCTAATCTATTCGGGTCCGTCAATCAACTACAACGTAGAACTTCGTACATACGTACATCAGTTCAAATTACCATACCACATTGGCAAAGAGAGATTGAATTGTAAGTTCAAATTTCACAGTCGTAGAGATAGTAGAAGTATTAGTGGTAATGGAGAAAAGGGTTTGAAGATATTATTCAAGAAGTATAATTCAGTGAGATAAGTTTAAAAAGAGAAAAAAAGGTCATGAGGAATTCAAGTGTGGTGCTGTGGTGCGAGCTACTTATAAGTAGTATATGACGTGAGCGTCAACGTAATGTCTGGCAGCCGAAGATGGGGGAAGATCAAGAAAGGAAGAGTTAGAAAACAATGGAATTTTTCATGAAACGCATGAATAATGACAATGGATTGATGTTTTTGCAACAAGAACAGTCCAGTTCTATATGATGAACTGTTATTTTGCAAATGAACGATTTACGATATGGTTTTCCAATTTTACTGAGTAACTCTGTAATTTCCATTAAATACAATTCGGTTGCCCCACCTGTGTTCTCTTTCACTACACAGGGATTCGAATGAGAAGACAAATGTTTTCTTTTAGCCGTACCTAGCTTTCTTATACCCGATCCCTACATCATACAACATGGCTCGTCGAAGCAGTCGATGGTTAGGCATACGTACACATACCCAAACCACCTCAAATGGTGAAAACTCACTACTTCATCAACTGATTTGTCATCTTTATCTAGTACCCCGATTCTTGACAACAGCACTGCTAACTCGATCGTCCCAGGACATACGAGCAATGCTCCGAAGATATCTATGATCGAATACTAATAAACTACGAATATCCTTCATTCCTATTGGTTGTTTCACAACCATAAATTAGGACAGAGTAAACTGCTATACAATATAACTCGTCTGTTGGCTGCCATACGGACATCTCGTCTATACCATTAGAAACTCAGATTTGAGAAAGCCAGTTGTAAAATATGTACCCATAAAAGGATTTCGTCACACATTAGGTCATCAGCACTGATGAAACTCCCAAGATAAGTAAGGCGATCAACACGCTCAACTACTTCACTCCCTATCACTAGTTCAGGTGACGATGCAAGCCAATCCTGAAGCAATATTTTGCATTTCGATGGTGGAAACCGCATTCTGAACATGCTTGCATTGTTGTTTAAGGTGTTCAGAAGACTGCATTTTGTCAGCGATATCACCAAATAGAACTGTCACCTCCATATTCATAGTCAACAAGCGAGTCTCCTGGTAGGTCAACTCAAAAGTTAGAGGATGAATGTATCGGCTCTAAAAGAATGTCACTGATGAAGTTGAATAAGAATGTACAAAGTGGACAGAACTGATAATACTACTCTAGGTCAATAATTCCGATGACAGTCCGCCGTAAGCTCTAACTCGACCTGTAGTGTTCGAGGAGAGAGTTTGTATAAGGTTAATGTACTTCTTTGGTACTCCTTTCAATGACAGACTGCCATAGAAGCTCATGACTGACATAGTATCTAACGAAAATTGGTAGACCAATATACAACTCTAACAAATCCTCAATAATAATGAAGAATTCAGCAGACCAATCTATGCTTTTAATCCAACCACTGATACAAATAACCTTAGTAATATATGATCAGAATAAACAGGAACAAGGGGTTAGACATAAGGATTTCACACTGATCAAAAAGTATTTAGGCTAAAGACTTTATACATACTGGCAAATATATACTAAAAATTAATCGAGAATACACATCACAACAACGTTAATTCACGACTCTTTTGTAGATAGGGATATGTAATTGTACTAGATATAATGAAAATAATGACATTTTATTTGCTTTCGCCAACTTGCGTCAACTATGGCACAACAGAGTTATCCGTTCGCTAACCAAAGGACGAGTGTACTGCGCAACAGTTCGCTACTTCCTACTATATGGATGCGAAACATTGCCGGTAAGAGTTGAGGACACTCGTAGGTTGCTTGTCTTCGATCATAGGTGTCTCCGAAGCATAGCACATATATCGTGGGACAATCGAGTAAGAAATGCTGTCGTTAGCAAACGAGCACTAAGTAAGGATGGCAGATCAATAGATGAAGTAATGAAACTTCATCAGTTGAGGTGGTTAAGACATGTGTTACGAATGCCTAACCACCGACTACTTCGACGAGAGATTTTTTGTGGTTTACAAGCAGGTTGGAAGAAAGCTAGAGGTGGCCAAACGAACACATGGCGGAGATTCATGAAGTCACTGACAAGTGGACTTAGTCATGTTGGTAGATGTAGACTACCTGGTTGGGGTCCGCGAGACGAAAGTCACCGATGGTTAGAGACCTTGAACAACATGGCTCAAAATCGTTTGCGATAGCGCAAAAGCATCCACTGTTTGTGTTCTCTCTAATTCTAACCTTCTGAATTCCTCATCACCTCTATTTCTCTCTTTCTAAATTTATCTCACTGAATTATACTTCTCGAATCATATCTTCGCGCCCTAATCTTCTCCATTACCAGTGATACTTCTACTATCGCTAGCAATATTGGATTTGAACTGACAGTTGCGTCTCTGTGCAAATGCGGTATGGCAACCCGAACTGAATTATGTACGTACGAAGTTCTACGTTGTAACTGACTGACTGACAGTTTATTCAAATGACCAGACTAAATTTGTGAAAGTTTGCATATAACGTTCAACAAGGTGTTTATTTGTAGTCAGTCAGAAATTGGTACGCACGTACATTAATTCAAGTTGCCATACTCCATTAACGCGAAGAGATGGAATTGTCAGATCGAATCCCACATTAGTAAAGATAGTAGCATTATCAGTGTGGAAATCGAAGATAGGACTCAATAAAATATAAACGAATGAATTAAAAGGTTTGAATCATGGGGAACTTGGAATTCCGGCGGAGACAAAGAATGGATGTACCTGCGCAATGGCAAACGATTTCGACCCATGTTACCCCGTCTCTAAACACCGGTTACGATTGTCTGGCGGACAACAACCAGGTAGTCTACATCCATCAACATGGCTAACTCCAGTTTCACTCCCCACGCTAATTCATGTGCCAACTCAAGCCAACCCGGAAGCAAAATTATGCATTTGATGAGAGAGATTCATAACGCGAACATTAGCATTGTTGCTTAACATGGTCAGAAGACTGCAGTTTGCCAACATTTTCACTAAACAGCACGTTATCTGCGTATTATAGGGGAATTAGTGAAAACCCAACGATACATCCATTATAATCTAATTTGAGCGTTCCAAATTAATATGATTCAACAAACACGTAGAATTTTAATCATAACATAATGATCGGTGTTATTTACCTTATGACAAATAATATTAGGTTATTCAAATCTTAGTACAAAGAATCAGAAGTGAATTAAGCAACCTCCGGTTGAAACTAATCAGTTACTCAATCACACGACACATATCAAGAAGAGAATCAGTATATGCTGTAAAGCTGCGAAAATCCCTAGTTCAACAGAATACTTTGAAATGAAAGTAAAAATGGGCTTAGACAAGATATTAATTAATTTCAGTAGATTTTTAATAGGGCGATCATATTGGACTGTGACATTGGAGCGGTTAACGAAAACGTTTTCTCAAAAACGACTTTATAAGAACCTGTCAAAAATAATTCACTACCACTCATTAGCATTTGAAAATGCTATTAATTAGAAATATTCTCGAAAACAAATCTAAAATAACCTAAAAGTGTGACTTAGTTTCCTGAAGTATTCACATTCTCTTTTCTGATTAGTGGCTTTTGGAGCAGTAACTTAGGGGTTAGAGCACTCAGCTGTTAACCAATAGGTCACATTTAGAGTCTGCTCCACCTATTTCAGTTTGTGTACCTGAGTAGTACAGCTAGCTCCCATACAGACAGCACAGCTAGAAGCCGAGTATGTAAACCCGTACTAACTGATTTGCATCAATTTACTCTAATGTCCATTTAGACATAAAAGGTAAAGAAATCTTGATCTGCTAAAACTGAAACCCGGAATTTTTACAGAACTCACTTTTAATTTCGTGCAAAAATGACTTTTGTTACGCACCAGTACGGTACCTGGTGTCCCACTATGCTGATTACAATGATCAATCAATTCTGTTTTGTGCATATTAAATACTGAACAACTTGCATACGCGGGCACAGTATCCTCTGAAGTGAACTTTAGCGGATCAGAAGACTCATCCAGTTGGTCTGACACAAGACGATCTTGCAAGGACAGTAAATTCAAAGGATTGTTTTGATATGCAATTTTCGGTGTACATAAATTTGACTGACAAGTCGGAGGTATGGGAAATGGTATATTTATTGAATCTGGCAATTTTGGTCTGTTAGTTGGGTTACTTTGGTTTGACATATTATCTTCAACCAAGCTATTTTGGTTTAAAATAGTTGCATTGCTACCCGACGCTGTAGTCGCTTTCAATACAACTGATGGCAAATAATTAAGGTTGTTAGAACATACAGAAGGATCGCTGTTAGCATACACCTCAACGTCTTCATTCCCAGTCAAGTTACGATCATTGTAATCGAATAACGGTGATGCTCCTTGTGCACATCCAGTAGAAGTGGTTTCATTTTTACCAGAAACAGAACGCAAAGTCATTGGTTTGTATTCAGAAACAGGTTTGTCATTATTTAATTTAGATTTAGATGAATTTAGATGGTGGAGTAGATGTCCCGTTTCTACCTCTTGTCGCTCACTCCTCAGTAAAACGGTACTCACATTTTTATCAACAGCGGAATGACTTTCTGATTTGTTTCTGTGACAAGTTAGGGAAGTACAGCACATTCTAAAACTTGTTCCACGTATAATGTTTCTCTTAAAGGTTTTCTGATGCTCAGCATCTATGTTGGAACCATTAGCAATGAAATAATGAGTTGAAGATTTAAGACACTGCTTTCTTGAAGTTTGACGAACGACAAAGTGTATGAACAAACCGAAGAAAATCCAAAAGATAACAAATCCAAAAAGTAGAATATAAGCCCACACAGGAAAATTAAAATGTTCCAAAATAGTTATTTCATAATCAGATTTAATAGGATTATGCAACCCGGCAGCAATAGATCGGAGGTGATATCCAGAACCACGTACTCCCTCTCCTTTACAGTTCACTCCAGATATATAAATCATATAATCAACGAACGGATTTAGGCCATGAATATTTTTTGAATGGATGTCCGCAGATACCTGAAAATAACAGAAGAACCACTTTCAACTACGAATTTTAATATTAATTTATTTGTCAAGAAATCGACAGAATATCATACTAAATAAAACCATTGATGTATAAATAATTACATTCTATAGTTTTGCATCCAGTTTTCTAGAAATCAAATAAATAAAATTCAGTTTTGTGCTACTTTGTTAGTAGATAGAAAAATCTGTCTTATGCGGTCGCGATTAGACTATTTCGATAAGTAATGCCTTAAAAATTTGGTTAGTTAAGGAATCCTAGTTTTGATTAATCGATTATGATCACTATATATCTAAATTCAAGCTACCAAGCAATATAATAGGCCGTAACACAATAGGTATAGATAATGGTTTATGGACATGAGCACTGCTATTGATATGCACTTCCTTAAGTTGTGACACCTATCTGTGAAACTACACACACGTACTGCAGTTACGTTAGTTTGGCTAAAATAAACATATACCTATGACTATTATTTATTTATCAACAATTGCTGGTGCGTAGGGGCATCTAAATATTTGTGTGCTACACAAACACCGAATCTGTGAATAGGTTGAGGTTTTACCTGGGTGCCCAAACCGAAGAAGTGTTTTTAGGTGCCCACTTCACGAGCCTACGTGTCGAATGCATGAGGTACTGGAGTAACGTTAGGAGATGAAGTCTCATAGTAATTGGTGATCAACAATATGTTCATATATTTGTTCCAAAAGGGTTAAGTATATCAACATATATACGAATGAAAACGAATATAAACAGACAAAGCTGCAACCATAAAAAATTAATTTAAGAAAATAATAATGGAAACTCGACTAGAAATTTTGCAAACTCTGAAATACGAAACTAAAAACATGCTTAAATATAACGTATAAAGAGACACTTACATGGAGTGAACGACTAAATTGACTTTCATTTGCCAGGATATGTACTGCATATCCTAAGAGTGCACCATGCGCCATTCTTAAGTCAAGTGGTCTCCATGATAATCGAATACTTTCAGATGGAAATATGGAAGAGTTAATTTTCCGATTATCCGTAATTTGTTCGGAATTCAAAGGGCTAACATGGAGAAGCCACTCAGCACTTATTAATTCTGGTGAGGAGCTGGGTGGCGCATCAAGAGTCAAAGCTAACTCAGATCGACTGGATCTGCTTAAAATACGGCCATATGTTGGGTCATCCTTGAAGGCTTCAATATCAGTCTCATAACAACTGAAGGGAGACAGATCACCGACAACAGCCTTAGCGCCAGGATTATATCGAGATACACTCTGCATGATGATTATATTTTGGAACGAGTGCTCAGAGGTTGCAACGTACATGACATCTTTACCACCCATTGGTAATGAATTAGCCATTAAAACTGTTTGTTCAAGAAGCTCTGAGGATGTAAAACTACAGTGGACTGAACTAGCGAATGAAAAATCTCCATTACTAGCACCATAAATATCCAACAATTCTGAATCCCCATTGTTTTCGCGGAAATCAGATAAATAATTTGACGGTTTAGACGTAACAGCAGCTATGCAACGTGACATTGGGACTGGTCGCACATTTATTTTGAAACCATCAATACGTTTAAGCACTTCATTAGAAGACCGCGCAGCCCAGCTAACCAAAAGTTCGGAAGATGTGAGCGGTCGAATAGATATGCGATGTAAATCGATGGATTGGAATGTTGACACCAGCTCCTGAAAATCAACAGCTGTTTGTCCACCGGCAAAAAACGAACCAGGATGCTTCATAGTTAAGTCAGAAATTGTTCCATTACCTTTTGAAACATGTGAAAAGATAACCTCAGAAGGTTTTCTTACAGTATACACTATATAAGGCACTAGAGCTCCTGAACTCATTCCAAAGCTATTAACTTTCCTGACTTCAATCCAGTACCCAGTATCAGGTACCAGACCTGTTATACGAATCTGGGTATGGTGAGTTTTTTCAATTGCAGTTAACCAGGTGTCCAATTTAAAGGGCTTACTACTAGGTATTTGAGCTCCATCTGATTTCGTACGATCTCTAGCAGTCGTAAGCTGTTTCAGGTCCTCAGAATGTCGATCTGAGTGAACTGTTATTTGAGAATGAATTTGTGGTAAAATGTAAACTTTGTAGCTTGTTGACTCGGAAGAATTGTTGTCAGACCATTTTAAAACTAACCACGTGTCACCAACACCTACGACCCTTGCATTTTCTGGAGGTGAAGGCAACTGCGAATATGTACGCGGTTGGTATATTGAATCGTTATGCTCCTTTAAGCTTAAGGTAAAAGTGTACTGTGCGAATCGATGGCTCACTTCTCGGTATACGGAACAAGTGTAATTTCCTGCATCTTGTGGTCGAAATGGATCAAGTAGTAAAGAGCCATCTGTCTTTATTGAAATCCGAGAGTTCGACGAACTTGTTTTGTGGATGAATTCACCATTGTTAAGCCATATTATGTGTGATTTTGTACTAAGTTTTGGTTCTTTAGAAACAGACTGAGTCGCTTGTGAATTATTGAATACAGGATCTAATGGAATTCCACAAAGTATTCGTACTGCTGTTGGACTGCCGAAGTTGTGACCAAAAATATGAGGAGTCGAAACAGCGCCCACACGACCTGGAATTAATTTGGAGTTAAATAAAACTTGAATATCTGTCAGGCTCCTAGTTAAACCAGCGGGGGACGAAGCGCGGCATTCATACGTAGATGTATCTTCCGGTCTAGCAGCAAGTATAACAAGGTTACCAGAAGTTGTGACGTAAATGCGCCCGGATACAGACACAGCTGGTATAAAATATGTTTTAGTTGACCACTGCAACCAGCGAACATCTGGGGATGGTGAGCCTGTAGCACTACAAAACAACTCAATCCGGTCGCCCTCATATGAGTATATTTTACTTGGAGATGTAGCAACCAAACCTGGGGGTGTAACAACATTTATGTAAGCGACTGCTTCGATAATCCCTGTTGAACCAATGCCCGACAAATATAATATCCAGAATCATTTGACTGAACACTTACAAAACGAAGTGTTCCACCTAGAAGCAATCTTACACGTGAGTAAGGAATACTAGGCATTGAGGGTTCTCTACGCCATATAACCACAGGAGAAGGCTCTCCAGCTGCACGGCAATTCAGTTCGAACACACTATGTACAGGCACTGATTGACTTTTAGGTGAAAACAATAAAGTAAGGGCGCTGTCGAACGGTAAGATAGGCCTTGAAACTTTCTCTGCGGTGAGCAAAAGATTTAGCTATGCAGGTATAATAACCAGAGTCTTGCCACGTTATCTTATCGATCCTCAAATTCCCAACATCCAGAAGCTGGATTCGGTTGTTTGGTAACACAGAAGAATTGTCTTTTAACCACTCAATAGTAGGCGTAGGGAGCCCAAAAGGAGGGATACATTCCAACAAAACTGTATCGCCAACATTTGCCACTTTGTTTTGAGGCTACATGTTGAACCTCTCGTTTGACACTTGCTTTCTTAGACTGTATCCAGTGTAAGGAATCTGATGCATTGCAGTAATAATCACCCTCATTATCACTAGCCAGATTGAAACCATATGAAGAATATACACTGTTTCCAGCCACTTTAGTAGAACCGTTTGCAACAGAAATATTATCCACTTTATGCCCAGGTAATATGTGATATTCGGAGACCCTACAGCGGAACAAGCAAGAGTGATTTGTTGGTTCTCTAGCCCATAAGTATCGCTCGGTTCTTCAACAAATTCTATTCCATTACTGGGTGACAGGACAACTATTAGTATGAATAAGGGGGGGGGGGGGGTTGACAAACGACTAATATCATACTCATACCACCTGATATCCGAGTACTTATTCAAGCTGTGGCGGGTTTGGAGCTAACCTTACATCGCGAAACGGTAAAACAAAATGACCTATTCACATATTACCAACCAAATATATGGTTCGAAACTTTATTAGTGCTTCATATTGCATGATCATTCCAACGAGGTTTTAGAGCCATGTTTAGTAGTTTTGATCCTGAATGTTTACCCCCATATTCAACGAATAGCGATTAGGATGTTAACTCAACCTCAACTTTGCTTCACAATATTAGCGGGTTGTTACTTTTTGAGATCTGTATCTCTGTTTTCTCAGCTAATAATTGTAGTTCTTGGTTGTATTGGAGAACTTCAATTCAGGCTGCTAACTATTCCTTGATGCATGACGGTTAACGTATCCACGTACTATCCGTAAACATATTTTCTTCCCAGCAACGCAGACCTGGTTTCTGCCTATCCTGTTTGAACAATCTGTTGACCATAGCAGACATATGGAAAACCCTCTTTGATTACGAAGGTAGGGTGGCCAATGTGTAACCCGACTTCACAAAAGTTTTTATTGGAGTTATTCATAAGCATCTCATCCATGAGCTCGATCGCATGTCAAGCCACCCTTTAAAAAAGTGGTTTACTTTATGTCTAACCGATTGACATTTTGAAGTCAAATAAAAACTTATAAATTCTTCAGGTACAGGATATACTGGTGAGTTCCCCAAGGCTCGAATATTAGAGCATCTCTTATGATTCTATGTGAATGGCATTCCTCATCAAGTATCCTAAGAGCTATTAACACTCGGTGATGTGGCTACTCTTAAGAGAGGTCTGCAGCCAGTATGATAAGCCAGCTCCTGCAGTGGATCTAATTCAACCCCACAGCTAGAAAAGTATCACTGTAAACTTGAAGTCAGTCTTTCAATCAGTTACAACGTAGAACAACGTAGAACACATGTCCCAACCACCTCAAATGATGAAGTTTCAATACTTCATCTATTAACCTGCCATCCTTACTTAGTACTTGCTTCCTAACGACAGCATTTCTTACTCGATTGTCCCACGATATATGTGCTATGCTTCGGAGACACCTATGATCGAAGACAAGCAACCTACGAGTGTCCTCAACTCTTACCGGCAATGTTTCGCATCCATATAGTAGGAAGTAGCGAACTGCTGCGCAGTACACTCGTCCTTTGGTTAGCGAACGGATAACTCTGTTGTGCCATAGTTGACGCAAGTTGGCGAAAACAAATAAAATGTCATTATTTTCATTATATCTAGTACAATTACATATCCCTATCTACAAAAGAGTTGTGAATTAACGTTGTTGTGGTGTGTATTCTCGATTAATTTTTAGTATATATTTGCCAGTATGTATAAAGTCTTTAGCCTAAATACTTTTTGATCAGTGTGAAATCCTTATGTCTAACCCCTTGTTCCTGTTTATTCTGATCATATATTACTAAGGTTATTTGTATCAGTGGTTGGATTAAAAGCATAGATTGGTCTGCTGAATTCTTCATTATTATTGAGGATTTGTTAGAGTTGTATATTGGTCTACCAATTTTCGTTAGATACTATGTCAGTCATGAGCTTCTATGGCAGTCTGTCATTGAAAGGAGTACCAAAGAAGTACATTAACCTTATACAAACTCTCTCCTCGAACACTACAGGTCGAGTTAGAGCTTACGGCGAGACTTTTGTATCCGTGTCGAGATTTCTTTAGTCACTAGGCCATTTTCAATGATGAGACAACATGCTCATTTACTTCACTCCCTATCATTTGTTCAGGTGCCGATGCAACACAGTCCTGAAGCAACATTTTGCATTTCGACAGGGAGAATCGCAACGCAAAAATACTATCATTGTTGCTTAGAGTAGTCGGCAAACACTGCATTTCGTCAGCCTCTTCACCGAATAAAACTATGTCTTCGGCATATTCTAAGTCAACAAGCGAGCCCCCTGGTAGAAGGTCAACAACTGAAATTTCGGACGAGGATAAGGTTATTTCTAGGAGCATGTCTATAAAAAAATTAAACAAGAATGGGGAGAGTGGACAGCCCTGACGGACACCACTTGAAGTACAGAATTCCGGTGATAGTTTGCCATAAGTTCTAACTCGACCTGTAGTGTTCGAAAGGAGAGCTTGTATGTAGTTAATGTACTTGTTTGGTACTCTTTTCAGTGACAGACACTTCCACAGAACCTCACGATCAACAAAGTCAAATGTCGTCCCAAGGTCAAAGAAGACAGCTATTGTCGGACACCTAAATGTGTGTCTGTGTTCCAGGACCTATCGTAGTAGTCTATTCAGCCACGTCCGAGTCCGAAACCAGACTGGTTTTCTCTAGCCTTCTCTCCACAATCTCTAGTTATTCGTCTAAGTATAATTGAGGCTAACATTTTAGACGCCATATAAGTTAGACTGATACCCCTGTGATTGTCACAAGAAGACTTTTGTCCTTTCTTACAAATTGGGACAATCAGTGATTGAGACCAGTCGGATGGGATTACGTCCAGTTCCCAGATTCTACCTAAGATCTCGGTCAATCTACCTGCTAAAACTGAACTACCATCCTTAAAATTCTCAGGGGGTTAATCTATCAGGACGCGCTGCTCGCCCTCGCTTCAGATTTCCTATCCGCTTTCTCAACTTCATAAAGACTAGGAGGACTTATGTCGTTTCCCATTTAGGATGACTGCAGATCGTGGGTATCGGAAGTGTGGAGAATGTCAGTTGAACTGATCCCTGAAGTGTTCTGCCCATCGGTCCAATCTCCTGAATTGAGAATGAATGATGCAACCATCCTTTTCCGAGATAATTTAACTTAGTCCGATTACTAATACTGGTTTCTTTGATAGTTAGGAACAGTTTTCTGATATCGCCTATTGCCCTGCTTTTTTAATCTCCATCGCTTTCGCTAACCATCACTGTTCGCAACCACTACGTGGGCTTTACATCAGCCTGCGCTTAGGCTGACCTCACTCTTCGTCATTTTTAGAGCCAGCGGAGATGCGTTTACGAGCGTCTATCAGTTCTTTGGATACTATTGAATACTTTAAAGTTCCGAGTAGTCCGCCTGAGACATGATGTGGATTGCATATGCAACTTTTGGTGACCTCTAGATATGTCCTTGGCTGGCAAATATTTAGGAGTCTTTGTCCTGCATAATCTAAATTCCAACGATAGCTGGAACAAAAATGATGTACGTAGAGATCTACTGCTGCCGATGCTGCTGCTATACTGGTCGTCTTCTCATTCATTTGTTGCTGCCTGTAAGATAGATGAGCCATATCATCTGCGAATTCTAAATCGTCCAGCTGCACCACTGCTATCTACTTTATTTCGTGTTTCACCTCAAATTTTTAAGTCTTCATTATCGACTGCCCACCAAGATAAACAGGAAGCGTTAGATTCTGCAACTACGCCTCACACCGTTCTTCATTTCAAACGACTATTTGCACGGCTTTTCATGTACTATTTTGCAGCGTAGTCCATCCTAAGAATTCCTTATGATGTTAACTATCTTCGTAGGCTTACAGTAGTATCGACGGAACCTCCATAATGTCATCCTGTCCTTTCTTTCGAAAGCTTTCTCGTAGTCAATCAAGTTGATGTATATTGGTGAGCTGCATTCGGCTGATTGTTCCACAATGATGAGTAGTGAAGCAGCTTGATCGACACATGACTGATCCTTACGGAATCCTGCTTTACGATTTCAATGTTGAGAGTTACAGGATCCTTCAATCTGCTTAGTAATACTCTTTTGTAGACTTATCCTGGTGTTGAGATTTTCTTTCTTTCGTATTTTGATGCGGTTTCCTCCCTTTCAGTCTGCTGCTAATTGCTTATCGTCCCGAATCTTGCTGAAGAGACTCTGAAGTATCTTCGCGATCACTGCTACGTCTTCTTTCAGTGTCTCAGCTGGAACATTGTCTGCTGCGTCTTCTCTGCAGCTTTTGGTTTGTCTGATGGCCATGCTGATCTCCCCTGTTGTTGGTGGGCCAAGATTGATTGGGAAATTCTTAGATGCTGCTTCGATAGTAGGTGGTTTAGTGGAGTTGGCCGGCCTAAGAGTTCTTCAGAGTATTCTGCCCACCACTTTATCTGTTCTTCATTGTTGCTGATTGCTTTGCCTTACTTGCTCTTCGCTGGTCGTTCTAGTTTACGATAATTACCATCTTCGTTGTATCGTATAAAAATTTCAGGTTTCCATCTCTTGCAGCTTTTTATGCTGTTGATTAGGTTCTTCTACATATATATTGTCGTCAGATCTGATGCTTCTCTGCACTTCCTTGCTTACTTCTGAGTATTCAGCTTGTGCCTTGGGATTTTCTGCTCATGTTCGATGAATACTAACTGCCGCCTTCTCGTTTCTTCTTTCTTGAATCTTATCTATTGTATCACCAGTGGTCCATTTCTTGTGATTATGTTTCTCGTGGCCCAGAACCTCACGACATATTGAAGTGATTGCCTCACCAAGCCCTCTCTTGTTGTTCTTCATGGTAGTTTCCACTCTACTGAGTATATCGTGGAAAGCCTGAAATCAATTTCTGAGGGCTATCTTGAGTTCGCCACTTTTGCCAGTGCCTCCTGAGTTCCAATTTCAGATTCATCAATATGAAGTGATGATCACAAGCCATACCGGCACTTCTCTTGGTTTTCACACCCCACGTGTTCCCTCTGAACTTTTTATTGATGCATATATGGTTGATTTGGTTGGGTAGTGTGGTCCGCTGGAATATGTTGTCGCCAATAATCAGTTTGTTGAAGGCAAATAGGTTTGCGAATTCCTCATTATTTTCGTTTCTGTCTCCCAGTCCATGTCGTCCCGTGATGTCTTGATATTCAGTGTTGTTCACTCCAACCTTAGAGTTTAGGTCTCCGGTCAGAATAGACAATTACTTTTTTGGTCATTTTTCGAACATTGACTGGAGCCTCTCGTGTAATTGATCTTTAATGTCTGAACTGTCGTATTTATGCTCTTAGCACTGAATGATACTCATTGTGATCTCCTCTTTCTGTTTTGAATGCTGCTTTGGTGATCAGGGGTCTGTGAGCTTCCCTTAATTTCAGGGTTTTGTGCCTGTTTGGATAGCGTCAGTGCAAAGTCTCGTGCATGTAGAGCATTCTGTTGTTCATCGCCAGAATATTACGGCATTTCTCTTGTAACTAATCCTCTTTGTCCAACCCGCGTTTGATGTGTTTCGCAGAATCCAAGTACCACTAGGTGGTCCATTTTCATTTCTGTAGCAACTAGAATAGCTCTATTGGTGTCCCATAATGTACAAACAGTCTATATACCTCTATATTTGGTTGCTTAGGTTGTCAGAAGAGTTACTAGCCTTACGACTTTCGAAAAAATTTCGCTGCCTTTATCAGACGTTATAGCTGCACTGAAAGAAGATCTAACACCCATGACAGAGTTTAGAAGGTTTGAGTTGTTTTCTCTGGTTAGTGCTTTTCGGCTAGTTAGTTTTCTACGAGATGGTGTCTCTAATCTCATGCCCAGGCCTCCCTCTTTATTCGGGCTTCGAACCGACTGTAGCTCTTAAGGGGCTGTAGGTGGAGTCAAACTTTGTGCTAGTAAAGTTAAGTAGCATTCTTTGCCAGCTTGATGGAAGAACTTTCCACCTACTCTTTAGTGGCTTTTTTCTGCTCCATTTAGAGTATAGAAAAATGTTGCTCCCTCACTAGTTCCTAAAGGACAGGAATGCAAAATAACGTATTCTAGGGCGAGCCACAATATTAGTTCTAGGACCGAAGTTCAGGCTTTATGAAAATCGACTGGAACCACTCCAACTCTATTAACTAGACTATAGGTATGTCACAGATAACTTAAAGACTATCCTAAACACTCCTGAACAAATCCTAATATATTTACCTAATCTCAGTCCCAACTCAAATTATAGGGGAAATACTCAGAAACTGGAGGCACAACAAATCGAAAATGGCTGAATATACACCTTATCTTTATGAGCGGTCCCATCCTCTACTTCTCTACCCACTGAGGAGTTCAAAGTGACTTTCCTAGAGTTCTTCAAGAAGAAACTTGGAATTTTCTTCGGAACTCGGTAAAGTTTTCTCTTTTACTGGTTGCATACCTCTCGGTCCCTATCTGGAAGTATCGGTGATCTAGTGCTACCAGATGGGGTAGTCAATCATTCTGACCATTTTCGAGATACCGACAACCTTACTGTCCTGAGATGAACGAACTCACTTGGAATACAAGATATACAAGCGTAGAAATAACGAAAAAAATGACTGAAATCAATACATTGAAGTGACTTATTGGGCGTTACCAAACGACTGTAATCGTACTGAAACAACAAGATGCGAGAGACAAGAAATCAATCTGTTTGTCCTAGTCCGGGACGAACATATTGAACACTACATGAAGAGGCGCGAACATTTAGTAGTTGGTAGCCTTGTATTGACTTTTTGAGCCTGATCCCAACCAAGGAATCTCAGAGTTTAGAGGATTGTGAATTGTCTAGATACCCAAAACATCTCGTAAACAGTATCTCATAATGGTTAACTCACTTCCAGTGAAAGTAAACGTTTGTTTACATTTCCGAAGGATATTCACATCTTCCAGCCTTTATTTCCAGCAAATAATTTAAGCTTCGTATTCAGTAATTTGGCGCACAGAACTCGGCACTGACACTAGTCATCATGTACAGATGCGAGATAAATAAAGCTAGGGTACGATATTGTATTAATTTATGATTTAAATTATTGTTGTTGGCTCTCTCCATGTAGGAATTAATCCACCTAATTTCGAGTCATACTCAAAGTGTTAGACCTCGGATTGATAAAGGTGGAGAGGGGCTGAAGTTAATTGCTGTAACTAAGCTACTGCTCTCATCATCGTTTCTAGTCACACATCGACCGATAGCGTGAGGTTAATATTGCACTATGAAATTTGTTCTTCATCAGCAGCTGGTACAATGAGATATCTAAGTTAGTAGGCTTCCGCAACAATAAATTATTTTTTCTTGTGGCTCTTAATTAGCTTGTTTTACAAGTAATGCATCGAAGTTTGTCTCTTTTGGCAGCTAACATGGGCTTCAGTGGTCTGCTGACATTCTGCGCGTGCTGCCTCATAACGTCATTTATTGCTGCCGAGTCTGGTTCGAAATATAGTTAATAGTTTGGTCCCGCGTAATAAAGAATAACTGTATTTGAATATCATCCGATACCTCACCGTAATTCCATCAAGTCGTGATGATAAAACTTGAATTTAGGATATGTTTAACCCTGTGGGACTTTCATATTGTATATTGTCTGTAACAAGATCCATCTTGGTTGTTAGCTTACTGAAGCTGTATTGTCCAATACATTTTAAGCTATCCTTTGATTGTGTGGTTTTCCCTTTACCAACCGTTCGTAATATTGGTATTTCATTCTGTATGGTACATTTCGTGTTACCCTATAATACTGTGATTTTCTCCGGGCATGTATAGCAAAGGTAAGGTTAGTTATTACCTTATATGGGGTTTCTACTCATTTCACCTAGCTGATAAGTAACAACTTTCAACCTGTTAGTCAAAGGTTTAAACATCGCTTCACTTTCTCATATGTAATAATGAAAACATTAAATTTAATTTACACAGCGGAGAACTAACTCATTCAAATACTTAGAGTTTCGGAACATCAGTCAGTAGAAAACAAATTTCCGGTAAATTCCGTAAGGTACGTTCATAAGCCTTTTAGTATTAACCCAAATAAGCAAAAACCGAGAGTGTCGTCTTTACGTCAGTAATATTGTCATATACTCATTAAAGTAGGTGGAATACATGCATTCAGTTCCAAAAATAATATATTTGTTTATTACTAGTACCTAATTGTGATATGGACCGAGAATATTTCAAAAAAACTAGTTGTCACTGGTATGCTTTTCAAGCAAAATTTTCACTGGCCATATATATTCCCTCTCATATTCTGGCAAAGAGGTTGGCGACTTTTAAAACCACTAAAAACAGATCACGAAACATTGTTAACGATGTATTCTAGCTTGTTAACAAGACCGAACATGTAAACACTACAAAACCAAGATGGGCTCTAGATATAAAACGATGATTCTTAAGTGTTCCATCCGTGTAAACTGTCGAATGTTAAATTCCATTTGACATTCCAATTGTTATATCCGAAATGCACCATGAATACTTAATTTTCAATGGCAAAATATATAGACAAAGAATTGGGTTGTTAATAAGCCATCCGACCCATATTAGCTAATACCTCTGAAACAACTTGAAAATAGTCAAGTGTTCATAATTTCTAACAAATTAAGCTGATATATCAGTAAAAAGGAATTTAAACGGAGAAGTACGTAGGTGGAGAAGTATACACATCCCGCCATTACAGGGGAGATTTCATAAAACCACTTACTTACGACGTAATGACCCTGTGCTTTATTGATACTGTTGAAAGAATCTAAATACTATGCGTAATGCTGAGAAAAGTTAATACCGTGGAAAGCCTACAATTGAATATCTTGCTACGAGATCCAGAGACGTATCTCCAGACTTTGAATAAGAAATCTCCACATACAATACAGAGGTTATGTAGCCAGTAAAGTAATAATCTAGAGGTTACCCAAGACAGTACAGTAACAACAACTAAAAAACTAGTTACAGAGATAGATGAACCTTTTGTAGTTATCAGCTCAATTGCTGCAAAGCAAGTTATATCTCCTGATGCTCGAAGGCCTTTGTGCTCTTTGATCCCTTACATCGTAAATAAGCGAGATAGTACGACTGTAAGTTGTTCAATTGTAGCCAATTTTTTTCAGACTGATCATATAATCAGCATGAATCCGTCGTTTTCAGCGCTAGTGTTAGAAATCATCTCCCAATATTTGTTATATGTCTGAAGTAATGGCTGTAATGGTTAAAATACCAGCGCTTAGAGTACGAAACAAGTATATCCAGCATTTTATATTTTGTATTTAATTATCAGTTCTACCCAGTTCATATAATCTCACATGTCACGTAATCGCTGATGAAAATTCGCTGTAATTTGTGATCATATTATTCCCCTTATTATTGTACCTGTATTTGTTATGATTACTGGCCTCAATTGGAGTTGATTTGTAAACTTACTAAGGTTAATATGAACGATTTTCTAATTAACAATTCTAAGTCCAAATGTTATGATCTTAAAGATTGTATTTATCTTGAACTTGATTATTTTATTGGTTCACTAAATTAGACATATAACTGTAGGACATGATGAGAATGTATTGATAAAAACTGTATTTTTAAGGTTTAGATGAGAAACTTCATTCAGCTGACATTTGTCTATTGTTTATGTTTAAATGATTCTTAATGTTTCTTAATTTCAGACAGCCCAAGATTGGCATCATGATGCAGCCATTTTGGCTCGCCTCATTAAAGATAATAAAGGAAGTATTGTCATTTATACTGGTGCTGGCATTAGCACATCGGCGTGCATTCCAGATTATAGAGGGACAAACGGTTTGTGGACTGTGCAGTCAAATCTCAAAACTAGCATGAATTCAGGTATTTAGTTATGATCAGGTTTTTAGTTTAGTGCCATCTGCGGTCGACTTTGACAAAACTGATCACAAGAAATGTACAAAAATGCTAAAACAACAGGTATAATGCAAAATATATATTTTATTTATTAGGATAAAATACTCCAATGTGCATCACGTATTAAGACTTCTAAAACGTCGAAAAATATCAACTTAAAGTTACGACTTCCAGAAGCGACTACTGCAAAGCCAACATTCACTCATATGGCCATCAAAGTTTTAGTAGATGAAGGTTATGTACGTACTAGCCTAATAATGTGAAGTTTAATTTTTTTTAAATTGTTTTTGAAACTTGTTTAACTAACCCTGAGTTTATGAACGTGTAATAATCATATGATCTTTAAAAAGCTAACTGTTACTTTACTCTGTCCAATTATAAACTGATTGCCTTATACGAATTACAAATATAATTCACCGTAGATATAGCGTTCCTGGAGTATATGTACCCACGTATAAAGTCTGCGGACATGGCAGCGTTTGCTTGAAAAATATGCTATATCAGTAAGTTTTCGTAGCACAGATTTATGTTTTTATAAGGATTTTTAGCCCTTCTTTACTCAGTTGCTAAAATAAAAGCAAATTCTGGTCATGCTGTCTGATTGCAGTTATAGGTTTTTTCTAAATGTTGACTATTTCATTAAAAACGTTTGTAGCTCCCTTGATTCCGCAAGGTAATTTTTAGTGCAGCTGTTACCTAAAAAAATTCTGTCGGCTCAGGACGTGCAACATTACTCTGTTGTTACATCACAGTTCGCTACTTGTTTGATATAAGCTGTTGTTGAAAGCTACGATTTGCAATTGAATTATGTTTGAAATACGCAGGTTGTTATCCTAGTGGCAGGAATCATTAGCAGTGGTTGCACAAAAGACAAGTTATTTGCTCGATACTTTTACTCTGGAAGAGATTAGTGGAATAACCTTTTTGAGTTTTTTGATTCTGAGAAGAAAATGCTGTGGATCAACCAAGTGTTTCTTTCTATGCGTTGATCGCTAATGATCCACTTTCAGCACTAAAAGACAACACTTCTGTGGTTTTCGATCCTTTAAGGAAGGCATAGTTAACCATCATATCTGTTCAACCCTTCTAGCATGAACAGACTTCATGGATGGATGTTCCAGATGGTATAGTTTGTTTGATACAGTATGTGCGTAGATCGAGATTTTTTTCTTATCTGAAAATTCTCTTCAACATTTTTTACGCCTTTGTGTCAACAAACATTTTGTTAAATATTTCCTTAGTTTACTGAATTGTATAGGGATTCATCTGTTCAGATGATGATAAAATTAAATATATGCCTAGAGTTTGTCACTAGCTGTATAAACGTTTCAGCAAACTATAAGACGTAAAATTAACTTATTTGTTTTATCCAAACTTTACTTACTGCTGACATCGTCACTCACAGTTAACTAACCAACTACTTGATGATTAACAAGAATTTTCATCTCTGCATAATTTCAGGTTCGACATGTCGTTTCTCAAAATGTTGATGGCTTGCATGTGCGTAGTGGTCTAAAACGTGAGAAACTTTCAGAGCTACATGGTAATTTATTCATTGAAGTGAGTGCACTTGTACTTAAGTACAAACCATTTATTTTCGAGTAATGTATTTTATGTATCTATTTCTGGTTTAAAAATCGACTATTTTCGGTTTTGGCACAGCTTTCGATTCAGAGCACATGTTATCCATTTAATTTTTAACAGCTAGTTCTTATCGTTAACCCTCACAAAAGAAATGTGGCATATTACATAATACTTAAATATGTGCTGGAATAAATGCTTAGGTTTTTAAATTTAAGATGAAAAGGTTGATTAACTGCAAATGTATTTTCATTCTGAACATAACCGTTTTTGACTTACTTTGAGGTTAAACACATCGATAATGATACTTTTTAGTCGATTTTTGCTTTCTAGGCTTTTTATAGCATCAGACTCCCATTATCCACAGAAGGTTGTTTAAAAGCAGTTAGAGTAAGATTTATCATTTTTATTCTACTTAAAGTAGGGAGTTGTACTTATTGCTTAAGGTTAAAATGAGGTATTTCTGGTATGAAAAGGTTACTAAATTGTCTTCAAGGACTTACTGAGATGCAGTTTTTTTCCAAATATTGAGTGATCACCGCTCAGTATCTGGATACAGGTCCATATTTTAAAATACGGATTACGTTATCGAATTATGTGGGTCTAAAGTTAAAGCTAGACTAGTGGATTAAAACAAACCATATGCTTCTGCTTTTTGCATTTACATCGCTAGTTTTTCTGCTGTTGTGACTTAGTAAATTGTTTCACTTTCCGTTTGATTACTACTTATAATACGTGTTGTAAAATAAATGAGAAAAATGCTTTGTACTATAACTCATCTTTTGTCTTAATATTTTTTATTTTAGCAATGCATCGCTTGTGAAAATGCTGTTTTTCGAGTTTTCGACGTCGCTGAAACAACTTCTCGTTCACACCATTTTACTGGACGCATTTGTCCTCGGTGTCGTAATTCACACCCTGTTGAAAGTACAATAGCTGGTAATATACTAAAGAAAACAGCTGAACAGTTGGCAGTATCTAAATACAAGACGAATGTATCAAACGAAAATCTAATGTTAAGTTACCGACATGCTGCAAAAAAATTAGTCAGGTCTTTCGAAAGTGTACGTCTTAAAGCGATGGAACATTTACGTAATACTCAAAATTCTGAGATTTTAACTGATTCAGTTCTTAAGAAAGCACCTTTGTTAAGAGATGTTGTTGTTCATTTTTTTGAACGACAACCAGAGATGGGGTTAGTAGAAATATATCGTATTCAACCAGCGATCGAAGCTGTGCACGGCCGTAAGGTACTTCAAGATGCTGTTAATGCTTCTACGAAAGACCCTAAGCCTTTGGTTCACGGATGCAAACGTCCTAATGAAGAGTCGACAAAATATCTTATTGAATCTTCATGGTTTAAAAGAATGCGTCCTGCGATAAAAATAGAATGCCAGGATTTTCATAAAGCATCAGAAGCAGTCGATGTAAAACCTATTTATACGGATTCTCTAGATACACCTGCCAAGTTAATAGTTGTTGTTGGTTCATCTTTAACTGTTTTGCGTAATTACTCATTTTTGTGGCCTCACGGCCTTGGAAGGTGCAGTCAGCCAGGTTCATTGAGCAAATCTCAAAAGAAACTAACAGGTGCTAGTTCTATATCCAGACGGACTTCAATTCCTAATACTCCTGGAGATTGTCAGTTGGTTATCGTCAATTTACAACCCACATGCAAGGATGGAGTTGCTGACTTGGTGATTCGTGTTCCTTGTGATGAACTATTCCGCGTTATCATGTCAGATCACTTGAAAATAGATGTTCCACAATATGATCACAAGCATGATCCTCTTTATTCAATTGGTCTCCCTCTATCTCCAGAAGAAGAATGCACACGTACTCGTTTGAATATCCCATTCTATTCTCTATAATATTGTCTCAAGTTTTATTACTCTTTGGTGTACAGTTTCATCTGATTTAGGTGTGGTTGTTGATTATTGTTTAATCCTTTATGTGTATAAAAAACATTTATCCTTTGTACGCATAACAAGAACCAGTACCTTTGTAAATAATAAGCTACATTCCCACAAATAAAATACCTCAATAGAATTTCATCGTGTCACAGCTTTTTGCCCTCGAATCGGAAAGTAATTCGTAATGTCAGTCAATCAATGTCTAGATACGAAGAAGTACGTTTCTCGTCTTAAGAGATAATATAGATATCGTCATAGGAAACTTCCTAAAACACTATCCATCTAATCTTCAAATGTCTGCAAGAGGAAATGGAGGTGTTTTCCGTAGTTGTTGCAGCTCGTTAGTTATTTTTTTCTACTTCTACTTAGTTCGAAAGTTAGTTCATTAGTATTTAAGCTCCTAGGTAACTATGGCATTTCGAGTGCCTTAGTGATACCTAATAAGTTCTTGTTGTCAATTGATATATAGCTTTGTTTGGCTAGCGACGTATTCGTCGAAACACTGATTCCATCCAGTAATTCTCAGATTCTGAGTATACTCTACTTACTTCAGCTTTACCAATACAATGGTATTATAACTTGCAACCACCTCTTCAGACAAACAAAAACGGAGTACATAATTCCTTACGTGATAGATGGATTACATTAATATTTCATAGGATATACAATAAAAAAGTTAATCATAATATCAGATTTTAATAATGCCTAGGTTGTGTTGCGAAAAGAAAATTCAGAAATGGATTTTACATAGGTTCTCATCTTTTGTTGACAGTTTCCTTGATTGAAACCTTTTTCACTATCTATTTCTAGTTTTCAATTACTTATTGACAATCTTAACCATAATTTCGATGATATCTTGATAATTGTTTAAACTTCCAGTTAGAAATATGGATTAGTTTAATTAGATTTTCGTAAAATATACCTACTTTGTACTTGTTACTTACGTATTTAACATGTATAGATTTTGTTAGCTAGTTTTCACTTGTCAGAAACTTCATTTCCTTTAGAGTTCATATTTTTCTTAGATTTTAAAGACAAAAAATTAACACTCAGAAAGTTATCAACAAAGAATACTAGTGAATATATCCATTCTAAAGAAGAAGAAACATTTTTCTATGAAAAACACTCATCTTTAGCTTATGGTTCAGTGAATGAGTCTTGTTAGTGGGTCTACGCAATTATTGTAACCAGTGGTTGATGATGTTGGGTGGTATGGGTCAAAATTGGTTGCAATGGTATGGGTGTATTTATTGTTTTATCTCAGATACTGAGTTTCAAATTATCTTACGTTTCACTTTAGTGTTATACAAGTACATTCTTCCCTTATTGTATTTTCTATTCTTGATCCTATATACTATTACTAATATTATCACTTTATTATGATTCTGGGATCTATCTTCATTTTATCTCGTGTTAATGTAATGTAGTAGCTTGAACGTATGCACATAAATGCCAGATTGCATGCTGCTTAGTGCTAACTGGTTTACTGATAGCTCAGTAATGAAGTACAAGTGATTGTAGTAAAATTTGATCTGGACAGTTATTGTTAGAATTGTATACACTGCTGTGTGTGGGATTGAATCTTGTTGGTAAACCGCTTAAAGTAATTGGGTGCTGTTAAAGATACTACTTCATATTTCTAACAAGAAAACATTAACCTGATGTTTCACTTATAATTTGAACATTTGGTTTTGAGGTCATATTTCTTATCTGTTTATAGTAAATTACAAACGTAAAATTATGTATTACATTTGTATAATATTTAAAACTCAAAATTGGTTTTGATCATGATCACCCCTTACAAACAAACGGAAGGATTCTGTTTTCGTCTAAATTATTACAGTGTACAATGAAATGAGCCAGTAGAATGTCAACATTCGGAAAGAAACTGAATATTTATAATCAGTGTTACACCAGTCCTTGGAACAAGTAGCGATGCATCCGTGGTATAAATCATCATCTAATTGGAATTGTCCGCAGTGAGTTGGTATGTCGGTTAGTTTATCCATAGAGCATCTTCGTATCAGTAAGCTAGAACCGTCTTTTTGACGAATACCCTTGATTTTTGTGCAGTAGTGGGCATAGAAGAGACCTTCATGTCCAGGTATCGTTTGACGACATGGTCGTTGAATTGTAACATAAGCACTGACTGGATCTTCACATGCTGGATTACTTCTGTTCATTGACACACAAGAATAACAGGCGATTGCTGTTGCTGTGAAATGTTTTATTGAGAGAAGTGCAGCAATTTTTTATTATTCGACCCAAACAATTATCAGTTAAAATAACAACGTACAATCATCATCGTTAATTTACTACTTTAAATGATTGGTGAAACAACTTAATGCGACATAATATAACCAGGTGATAACATAATGAACACAGAATTTATTTGTTCTACTTAGATAGCTAACTGCGCAACATTTCCTGAAATAAATTTTAGAGCCACATCGAGTATGTGACAAATGAATTACTCTTAATTACTAAGAAGGCTAATTTTATACCACCACTAAAAGCGACAAAACTGAAGAAACTAAGGTGAAAGCAAAATATGCACTCGATTAAACCAGGGCTTCGTTATTTTTTTCATCGTCTGAAAGTTGTTCATAATGGAGTGGTGGTGAAAATACTAGTTAAACTTCAGCCAAATACATGCGACTGCTTAGATTTGCAGTGTACCGACTATACATAAATCTTGATTGTAGTCAGTAAAACGAATCTAGCTGTGTAATTCGTTTGCTAGTACTAAATTTATTAAAGTAGGGATGAAATGTATCCTTGCAGTTGTTGATCCATTGTACAAATTATTTCACAGGATCTCTAGGGCAAGAAATTTCAGCATATCGTAAATTTCTTTTATTTTGCTGAACTGGAAGATCCGTCCAAAGGAATTAATAGTTAGATGAAGGCACCAGACGACTTAGTGACTAACTATTTTTAGTGACAATTATCTTATCTGCTTTTCGCTTTTCACAGTTAACTGTTTTTATCTCAAGTTTACCAATTTTGATGATTATTCCAGATTTTAGGGAGAAGTGCACAAGTATAGCATCATACAACAAAATAAAGTGGTAATAAGACTTTGAAATTTTGGTAAGCTATTATTCCTTAAAGTTGAACTAAAGGAAGCATATTGAACACTATTGAGATTTTCATATTGTTGTAGAAACAAGTCATTACATTAGGGTACTAAATGTAGTAAAAAAAATTGTGGATTGTAAGATAAAATTACACTTTATACCTAGAAAAATTTTAATGTTTTGAAATGCAGACGTGTTAGAATTTTCATTACATAAAGCTCTATTCCAGCAGAATATCGATTTCTTGAAATGGTTCAATACTCGGTCAACAAAAAAAGATTATATACAAACTTGCTACTAACTCACCTATATTCACCTTAAGTAATAAATAAGAAATAATCCATGTAATCCAATGGCATAGTGTTAAGTAGTGAGTTTTCTGACTACCGAGTACTTTCATATCTATTCATCTCATCAAATTACACAACATTCTGAACTCATCAAAGTTTCGTAACATTTTAAATGATTACGGGCCTAGAATAAACTTTAAATAAAAATTGTTTTACCGGTTAATGTCAGTCTGACCTTCATGTTGTTCTCATTGGTTAATAATCAGTTCTAGTAGAATTGACAAACACCTGATTGGTAATTTTTATTAGATTTAACCTAACTGGATTTGTCCACAAATAAGCATAAATGAATTTTATCCATTGATTTTAATGACCAAACTATGAGGTTTTGTTACGAAGAAAATAGTCTTTTTAACGGAATTTGTTGATACATCTGAAATTTGGAAAAAAATCAGAGTAGGAATTCGAAAGTATACTGGTGTCGTGTAATAAAAAAAATTAATTTTCGTGATTTTATTTTACGTGTATTATTTCTGTACTTATATAGTGACTACTAACTCGAATCGGATCTCATAAATGATCAAGTACACAATTTACCCTTAAAGCTTTGACATTGTCTTCTGTAGGAAAGTTTGAAACCTAACTCGCTTAACAATGGCTATAAAATCATGTAAATTTTCAATTCAGATGTTTGTTTATTATATATTTCTTTAATAAAGACATCTTTTCATATGCTGAATAAAAATATAACATGCTTACGAGTAAAACGCTTTGAATATGATTTTGAAATAATCGGTACCATAAAAATGTCCAAACAACTTATCGTATTACATATTGAGAAAATTATTTATTAGATGAGAGATTGCCTTATTTTAAGTAAATACAAAGAAAAATAACGTTTAAAAGATGATTGCAACAAACTTGCTTAATGATATCGAACTACGAAACAAAAGGTGTGATAACTATGGTCTATATTGTAAAAAAAGTAATTGTATGGAAATTCTACAATCAGATTTCTCATCAAATTTGTGCAGTAATGTTTTTTTTGATATATGCAGCTAATTATACGCTGTGCCCACACTGGAAATGCACATATCTCAGTTTTGGTTGACTTCCACTCGGAGGATCGGTTTCACTAGAGATTGTAAATACTCTTTGTTGACAAATATCGATCAGTACGAAACCTAAGACTGTGGTTCCCTATTGATTTTCTCTACCGACCTAACATTAAAAGTATCAGACCATTCATTAGTGGCTATATTGAAACTTGATAAATAGGAAATGCTAATATTGATTACTACTGAGTGGTAGATCAGTATGTATAGTTCAGTTACCAGGTTAGAACAAATCCAGTTTCTTTAAGTTGTATAAGCTTTATAGTAATAGGTAGCTGGTAGTGTGTCGCTGATATAGTATAATTATCAAAGTGTTTGGTTTAACTAGTTCTGGTGAATACATTGCATCCAAGAAGTTAAACTTGATAATTTAAAAAACGATTTCTGCACAAATACTCATACCTTTCAAGAGTGAAATCTACACAACTATGATGACTGTTCTCTTTATGCCAATAATTGAGTGAAGCGACTTACAGGTTTTCATTTTCATCGAAAATTACTCATTGATCTGGTTTGCTTCTTACCAATAATGCTAATTGTACATTTGGTTTTAAACTCAAATCATTGTTTTAAGACCGTAATTAGTAGTAAAGGCGTAGATTTTTATACTAAATCCTATCTAGAATAGCGGATATGTTTTTAAAATTTCTTCATCCCTCTCCTTTTATTACTTTTCATAGGTTCAACTTCACAAACTGTTATTGTCTTTGCTATTGTAGTAGTGAACAGTTTAAAAAATCGAATCGTTTACCGGAGATTTCAAGATCCATATTGTTTTAATCAGTTTATCAGTCAATCACTAAACACTATAACTAAATAAAAAACATATTAACGCACTTATAAAGAAAATTTTACATAGGATTATTTGTTCACATATAATTAATATACATGTATTTACAGATAAACTAAGAATGTATTAAATACGAGAAAAGTCAGAAAATAAATTTAATACCGATGTAAAAATTCATATTAAAAATACAAAAATGCTTTATCACAGCATAATTTACACAATAGAGAACTGTACACGTCTTCTATGCATATTTCATAAACGAGAGAATCGGTAAATAAGAAAAGAGAATGAAATTCTAAAAAATATTCTCCAAAATTATTCAATAACAGAAAATTAAGTCAAAATAAACAACCAAGATGATGAAAAGAAATCAGTAAAGAAGTATACAGTTAGAACTCTACCTAATTGATATTGCAGACTGAATATACCGTAAATTAGGTATCATCATTCTTTAATGATTTAATTTATTCACGTGTGGAAATTAAGTAAATGCGAAAATGACTACTGATAATAAAATTCAGTAGTATGAAATAAATACGAGATTATTCAGCAGATTATGATATTATTTCATCGATTTTAGTGTAGATTCCTCACTGTGTTTCATCCCTGTAAAACCATTGGTCGTTGAAGATTTGGGTATCACAATCAAAGGATCCAATAGTCGTTTTAAACGTTGATGAAATTTTTTTCTAATTCTTTATGATATTCTGTTTGATCAGAACCGATTAAAGATTCATTAAGACGGAGAGCTTCATATGATCTAAAATTAGGAATTGACAGAGATTTTAAGCGAAAAATGAGTCAGTAAATTTTGCGTTAGTTTTTGGTAGTTTTAGAAAAACACATTTTAATGAATAACCGTCACTAGTTTTTTAAGCAGCTATTTTCTTTTAGCGCATTATTAATGGTTACCAGAGCAAAATAGGGAATTAGGCTTAAAGCAATTAGTTATCTTACATCAATATATACAGTTCAGTTTTTTTTAAAGATAGTTTAGCCCGATGGTATATGTTGCTCGAAAATAAACAAATCCGGTTACTATTTTGATTAGCCAAACATAAACGCTGTTGTATTATTTTGTAAATGAAACGATTCGATCGATTCTAGTCATGCATATAATAATGTTATAAATCGTTTATCGATCTTTGTGCTCGTACACAGAGTCTCAGGCTGCTTATTCTCACCCTTTCTCGTTCTTCCGGTCGTTTACTGGATTATGAAAACCTCGAAATCTCAGGGAAAGCTCGAGATACAGTGGATAGCTCGGATGAAACTAAATGATTTGAACTCCCCAGATCACGTAGCTCTTCTATCCCACACACAGGAATAAATATAAGCAAATAAGGGCAGTGAAGCAGTAGACCTCAATATACACCAAGGAAAAAGTAAGATCCTTAGATATAACACAACATGCACCAACTAAATGAAGAACTTTTGGAAGATGCAGAACAAGGTGGATCTGATGTAGGTTTGAGTACGCGGACTGGCAAAGCAAAGGTGATTTTCCGATAATTGTTGAATATCTGGAACTTAAAACACCTATCAATGATCCCCAAAATTAGAATTTTCAATACAAACGTGAAGGCTGTTCTATTGTATGGAATGAAAAGTTGGAGAACTACGAAGGCCATCATCCACAAGATACAAGTGTTAATTGTTGTTGTTGTTGTCTACACACGATACCGAGTATCTGTTGTTTAGACACCATCAGCCAAAACCTACTGTGGGAGAGAACAAACCATATTCCAGCTGAGGAAGAAACTTGGAAGAACACTGGAAGTGGATAGAACACGTTGTTAAAATCACTCAAGTGTGTCGCGAGGCAAGCCTCGACTGGGAATCCTCAAGACCACGGAAAAACGGGTAGACCTAACAACACATTAAAATGGGGATCGGAGACAAGCACTAAAAGAATGAGTATCACTTGGGAACAACTGAAAAGTAAAGCCTAAGACAAGGTTGGTTTGAGATTGCTAGTCGACGAGATATAACTGGCGTAAGTAATTAAATGTAGAGTCTCATAATTATCAGGATTGAAGTGCATGGTTCACTTACGAACGACAAACAGAAACAAATTGGATAAAGATACAGAGAATTCAGAGAAGAAAAGTTTGTTTTCGACAATATCATTTTCTGGAGTTGTACAACCATATTCATAGGTAATCTTTCACTAAACAGGGGATTTTTACAAACTTATCAACGATAATCAAACTTATTCAAGTGGAACACAATGAAATTGAAAATTGTTATTATGATCTGTCTGTTAAGTGGGGAGTTATCTAACATATATCTGACCTTTATATTATTCTGATCCCCCTTATCTAAGAGTTAGCTTAGATTATTACGTAACTTCCTTTCGACATTGGAATAACACCCCTCAATTTATAACTAATTATTACAATTATGTTCAATACTTGAAACCTTTTGATAAACTTGACCATATTACGCGAAATTGCTTCATTGATAACTTCGTGAAATTCCTCTGTTTTAGCATGGACTACTACGTGAAAGAACACCCATAAATAAAATTGAACAACTGCAGAAAATGATATCTTCGAGAACAAAATTTTCTTCGCACAGTTCTCTTGATTTCTATTCAGTGAAAAAATGGGTTATTTTAATTAAAAAAATGAAAGCTATCGAGTCACTGTATGAAGTATTCTGTATAAAATGATCACATATGTATGTATTGGAAGAAACACTCAACTTGCGATACATTCTCAAGGTTGTACAATATAATTTGTTCATTCACTCTAATGTATGTCTCACGCATATGGTGACTTATTGTGTAAAATATCTACACTGTCTTATCAATAGTATTGTGATAATTTTTATTAATGGACAGAAGTGATTTGTGAAATTTACATGTTTTGTAAATTGAAACTATTTACGCTTCATTAAATGTTACTAATTCTATGGAAACAAATCTTTAGAAAATTTTTAAATGTGAATGCTAGCTCGATAAATTCGCATCACCGAAATTCTAAGATATCTCAAAGCTGTTTTGTTCAAAAAATTGCTAATTTTGATTAAATAACTTAACTGTTAACATTCTATTGACAATAGTAATAAACATTTTGTTCCCAGTAATTCTTTAAATTACATAAACGTCACAAACCGATCTATTACTGATAACATTTATAGCTGTTAGGATATTCATCCAATATCCTACGAGAATTATTGGTCAGTTCCTATTGATTAATTTCTACTGGTCAATTTTATGGTCGTCCTAGATATCAATGTCACATGCTCCAGTGTTATTTCTTACTGGTTGTCCTGAATATCAATGTCACTTCGAATGTTGTTTCCTATTTGGTCGTCCTAAATGTCAATGTCACAAACTTCAATGTTGTTTCCTATTCGACCAAAATGTAGAAATACGCATTATCTGTAACTTTTTGTGACCAGGACCAGGACCCGGTCCCGGACACCTAGTCCGGACCTCGTACTTTTTGGATACTTGTAGAATACACGTTCTACTTCATATCAAGTCTTCTTATTTTTTACTCAATATGGGGGTTGGGATAATCGTGTCGCTGAATCCTCGATCCTCGCTCTGGTTTTCCGACTAGGTAATTTCGTAATAGTCCAAGCATATCAAAATGACGTGTTTGTGTGCAGGCGTAACAATATCATCTATATAATTTTTAAAGTAACTTTTATCATAAGATATACATTTAAAATTAATACAGAAGAAAAATTACTTGATAAGAAATTGTTGAAAAGTTATTCTCAGACGATTTTGTATATCTTCATAAGCAGTGGGATTTAATGCTGTCGACAAATTATTCTTATCGGGAAGTAATGATTTTAATGGTTGATTTTTTTCATTTCCCAGAAATGTTGTTGCCATTTCCACTGGTCCTTGGTTAACTACAGTTCCAATACATCCCTTAAAGAAAATAAGTAGTGTAACTGTTAGTATGCTAGGATAAAAACCAAACAGAGTTGGAAAAGATCAAACAAACAATATGCTTAAGAGAAAATTGACGAAATTCTTAACGTTGGTGAAAGTCAAAACTGTGCAGTTTTGACTTTGTTAATGAGTATTATATTTTGCATTGTAACTGTTCCTAAAGTATCCACCCCATTAGCAACAGTTTGGTAGACTATCATATCATACAAAAATATCATATTATTTTTAACAAGACATCTGAGTTGTATCATTGTAACTAGTATTATTAAACAAT